AACTATACTTGAAGGGTTACTGTGAGCATTCAATATTTTACATAAATGCACATATGATGTATACAAATATATAAAATTTGTATGGCATATATAAGTATTTATATATATATTATATATAAATATATATTCTATATATAAATATATATTCTATATATAAATATATATTCTATATATAAATATATATTCTATATATAAATATATATTCTATATATATGAGAAAAATTATGATCTAGATTAAATATAATGCAGCTCTGGTGGGGTAGTGGATAATGCACTTGACTGCTAACCAGAAGGTCAGCAGTTCAAACCCACCAGCTGCTCAGCAAAAGGAAGACTGGGTAATCTACTTCCATAAAAATTTACAGCCTTGGAAACCCAATGGGGGTTGCTATGAGTCAGAAATGTCCCAAATATCTTCAGTTATTTCAAACTTCCACTCAATAAATATCCAGTGTACCACTTCTAAATGGCCAGTCCTTCCAAATGAGCAAAATATGCATTTAAAATGTGCGAATTTGCCTTTATTTTCATGAATTCCTTTTTTACTGAATTCTATGTGCTCAGCTCTAGGCACTTCAGCTAAGTTTGGATTCTGCCTTTTGATGACCTAGAGGGGAGACCAACAAATGAGTAAACAAATAAAAAAAGAAAAGAAAACTCTAAGGGATAAGGACAGCCAAGGCAATAAACAGAGTGATGTAATAGTAAAGGGGAGGATGGGGGTGGGAGTAGCACCAATTTACTTCAAGAGGTAGAAAAGTCTTTCTAAGAAGATGAATTTTAAGTAAGACCTGAAAAGTATTTCAGGAAACTTCTCCAAGGTCACCAAATTGGCAGGCTTGTTCAGTCAGTTGCCAACAATTTTGTTGCATTGGAAAACAAATAGCGAATAGCATCTGTGCCCTGATTGAACTGCTCCGGCTCTTTGCAAACCTGCATTGGGGCAGCAGCCAGCCAGAGAGAGTCTGGCACTTGGAAGGTTACATATCCCTGGTCATTAACCCAGACAGAGGTGAAACAGTCAACATAAACGACAATGAGCTGGGGGGATGACCAGTGGATGGGATGTACAAGAGGAATTTATCCTGTTGATTCATGCTTCCTAATAGTCACTCTGGCTGACAAGGTTCAGGATGTTTTCAATGTATTTCATGAGTAAATGATTCCCCTAGTCCCAGGGAAGATGGTTATTTACAATTATGTAACATTCTCTCTTATACGTTCAGTTTATAACTTATTTAGCCCAGTGTCATATAAAAGCACTTTAGAACACAGTGCTTGTAACAATTATCTTTCTGTAGGTGAGTCACTGAACATAGCTGGTAACATGGCATCTACATATTGTTGTTGTTGTTAGGTGCTGTTGAGTCATTTCCAACTCATAGCAACCCCATGCACAGGAGAACGAAACACTGCCCAATCCTGTGCCAGCTCCATGATCCTTGCTATACTTGAGTCCACTGTCATAGCCACCATGTCAATCCATCTCATTGAAGGCCTCCCCCTCTTTCGTTGACCCTCCACCCTACCAAGCATGACATCCTTCTCCAGGGAATGGTCCCTTCTCATAACATGACCAAAGTAGATGAGATGAAGTCTGGCCATTCTCGCTTCCAAGGAGCATTCTGGCTGCACTTCCTCCAGAGCAGATCTGTTAGTTTTTTCAGCAGTCCAGGGTACTTGCAGTATTCTTCACCAGCACCACAACTCAAAAGCATCAACTCTTCTTCAGTCTTCCTTATTCATTGTCCAGCTCTCACATGCATATGAGGCAAATGATAATATCATGGCTTGTGCCAGGCACACCTAAGTCCTCAAGGAGACATCCTTGCTCCTCAGCACTTGAAAGAGTTCCTTTGCCAACTTGCCCAGTGCTATATGTCGTCTAACTTCATCTACATGGATTAGGAAATCTGTGGGATTCTCCCAACATCCCTATTTTGAGAATCCATACTGCTAATCAGTTGCTGCTGTTGTTAGGTGCCCTGAGTCAATCTCAACTCATAGTGAGTCTGTAGGACAGAGCAGAATTGCCCCATAGAGTTTCCAAGGCTGTAAATCTTTATGGAAGCAGACTGCTACATCTTTCTCCCACAGAGCAGCTAGTAGATTTGAACATCAACCTTTTGATTAGCAGTCAAGCTCTTAACCACTGAGCCACCAGGACTTCTCCATTCAACACAATAATTCCCAAACACTGGAATCACCTAGGGATCTTTTAAAAATACCTACCTCCCACTCTCATACATCTGCTTTAATTGGTACAGGATGCAACTTGAGCCTCTGAATTTAAAAAGAAAAAAAAAAAAAAAAAAGGAGATTCTAATGTACAGCAACATTTGGGAGCCACTAATGTAAGAAAACATTGCTCTTAGTTGTTCACTGGCATAGTTTATTTACTCCTTCAGAAAGTGTTTCAATCCTAACATCAGGATCTGCTGTGCCTGTGGTTCTTGACCACAGTGTCACAATAGAGAAGCCTAAGGCACTTTTAAAAAAAAGTAAGTGAGACTCTGATATAACTGCTCTGGGCTGCAGCCTCACCATCTCTTACTTTTTAAAGTGGCCCTGGTGATACAAATAGGCCCAGGATGAGAATCACAGTCCAAGACTAGAAACTGTTTCCCAAGGAATGTAACTTTATTCTCCATGTAGGAGCCAAAAGGGTCAGTCCCTTCTACTAAGCCCAAGTGGGGGCTACCCCCAAAAGTCATAAAAAAAAAGGCTGTCAGGATACTTGAAGAGGGTGGCAGTGAAGGAGAGAGTAAGGGGTAGAATTTATTAAGACAGAAGAAACAGAGTCGTTAGAACTAAGACCACCTGTGGTCCTCTCCCTCCCATAAATTTGTCCAGCCTGCTTCATGGAGGTGACTCAACCCTAGCCTTGGTTCCAATCAGTTGTGAAAAATGTCCAATCAGAACTTCTGGCAATACAAGTAGCAAGATTGACAGGCCCTCCACTCCCTGTGAGATTCTGTTTCATTAAATTCCCAGGAGGATATCTGTACTACTTGGACGCCAATTCTCCTGCCTCACACTCATCCACCAGCCTCGGCCTGGCCCCCAGGTTCTCTGCCCCAAGCTCAGAGAAGTAGAGAGAATCATCTCACAGATATACCTGCGAAGAAATCGCAGAGATAGTTTATTTGGGAATCATTCAAGTAAACGATGCTCTCAAATGACGACTGGATATGAAACGTGTGTTAGTTTGGCAAATCTTTGGGACCTGAGCAGTGTCACGCGTCTCACCCGGGGAGGGAAGCCCGCGGAGACTCACTCCACCACGCTGCCTCACCCAATAGGGACATGGCTACTGCTCGCACCCCGGGAGCTCTGGTAGCGTAGTGCCTAAGGCATTTAACCTTTAACAAGCAGACTGGCAGTTCAAACCCACCAACCACTCCTCAGACGGAAGGTTGGGCAATCTACTTCCGTAGAGACACCGCCTCGGAAACCCAAGGAGGGGTCGCTATGAGTCGGATCCGACTCCACGGCAGTGAGTGTGGGTTTTTGTTTGTTTACCGCGCCCCCATTTCTTCCAGCCAGAAAGCGTCCTGAGCATCCCTTTGTCTACCCTAAGCTGAGCCTGCTTACGAATGAGCAGCAGCACAAATCAGAGGCACTTGTTAGGAAAAAAGTCCTTGTTAGCCCGTTCTCCTTTACAGACGAGAAAACTGAGGGGGAAAGACCTATGTGACTCTGTGCTAGTTTGCCATAGAACATTTGTGGCTGAGCCCGATTTAGACGCCCTTGAATTTCCATTCTGTTGCCTGGCAACCAGTTCAGAGGCGCTCAACGCCCAGCCCTGACCCCTAACCCGCACCCTTTCTCTGCCTGTGCAGCGTGTGGGGCACCAATCAACTTTTCAACCTTAGGACACTGGCGTGAGGGAGGCACTGGATGAATTATCCCATTGCGGCTCCAGATCAGGCCCCCACCGGATGCGAGCCCCACCGGGGACTGGCGGGCCCTCAGCGGCCCTTTCGGGACCTTTCCCTTCAACATTTCCTCCTCCCCAATTTCGTGGTTACATTTTAGCACAATCCTGTCCAGTTTCCAAAGTTCTCAGCTGCTCCTGGAGTCTCTGTAAGTCGCCTTGGGAAAACTGGCACTAAGAGCGTTACGGGCAAAAGAAAACAATTTGGAGAGGAAAGATAATTGGAGAGCTTTTTCCTTCCTAGGCTGGCTACTCTCAGGCTCGGATTATTCTGCCACAACTGAATTAACCTGACCTGACACAAGTCTGACAATCGCCTAACGCTCTCCGGGCGGCCGCGTGCCCCGCGTCCCAGCCCTTGCGCTGAGATCGCGCATGGTGCCCCTGCCCGCGCAGGTGATGGAGCGCGCCCCGCCTGTCCCAGGTCCCCAGTGCGCCCGACCGACCCGCGCCTAGTGCACCCAGAGCTCTTCCACATCCCTCATCCACTGCGGCCCGGGAAACTGGGAAGAGCGGGAAATGTTCTCGTCTTTGTGCTTAACCCACTTCCTTACCCAGGTTCACAAAGCTCATGACCATGTCCGCGTCGTTCAGAAAGGCGCTGTCCTGCGCGCTGGTCAGAGAATATGTGCCGCTGCTGCCGGATCCCGGAGCCACTAGGCTTTTGCCGCTGACCGGGTGCGCGGCCCCGGGGGGTGGCTGCGGGAACTGCGGGGTGGTGCCTGCCCCCCGGGGCCGGGCTCGCTGCCTCTCCTCCGGGGACGTCCCCTCGTCGTCGTCGGCAGCGGACAGGGCGTTGTACAGATCCAGCATGAAGAGGGGTGCAGACTTCAGCCGCCCGGGCGGGAGCTCTCCACGAGGCTGATGCTGGGGCGCCGGGGGCTGCGGGAGGCCGTGCAGGGGCCGGGGCCGATGCGGAAGTCCCAGCACCGAGAGGATCTCCTTCTGCATTTCCCGCTTCTCGTGCGTCTTAAGGCGCCGGTAGAGGAAGCCGGAGGAGGAGGAAGGCGGCGGCTGCGGCGACTGCTCCGCGCGGCCGGGACTCCGGCCACCGCCGTCCCCTAACAGCGCGCCCCCGGCGGCCGCGGCGGCGGGCAGGAGGGGCCGCAGCAGCTGGGGCACGCAGCAGCTGCAAAGCAGCGCCCACCACCAGCACAGCCACTGCGCCCTCCGCCCCAGCATCCCCGCCCGGCCGGGCTGCCCCCGCGGGCCCCCGGCGACACTGACCCGCGAGGCGTGGAGTGGCGGAGCGAGGCAATAGCGCGCGGCCGCGGTGTCCCTTGGCGTGACCAGTCCCCGCCACCCCTCTTGGGGGGCTTGCTTCCCGTGCTGGCCCTCAGTCCTTCTCTCTCATGGTAGTCCGGGGCACCCCCGGTGGCCCAAGTTCAGGGGGCAGAAGGGGAGTTCGCTCGTGAGAACGACTTGGAGAGGAAGGAAGAGAGTGGGGCACCCAACACTCCGCGGAGGGTTCTAGAAGGACCAGTTGCAGGCAAGGTGCGTCAGGGTCGGGGTTGCTTTAGCGGGTTGCGGCGCAATCACCCTTGGGCCTTTCTGCCCTGCGCACGTGCGCTCGCCGCACTTTCCTGAGGGGTCCAGGCGCGGGACCGCTCACGAGCTGGGGCGACTGCCAGGCATCCCTGGCTCACGGCCCTTGTGGCTGGGGGCTCCCGTGAAGTCCACCCCGTCTGGCCCGGGCTGCGGCGAAAAGCGTCCCGAAATGCCAATTTTCTCCGAAAGGCTGAACTTCGTTCTCAGTCACAAACTGCGCTCCCCTCAGCCCTCTGGCACTGTCGCTCCCCACTAAAATCTCCGCACGCCGCTCCACTCGCCAAGCGGGTGCAGCAAGGATCTTGCTTTCCGTTCAGTTCTCACCCCGCTGCCCTGCAAACCCCGCACGCAAAGGGGTGGCAAGGAAGGGGCTCGCGTCTGGGCGGTGCGCAGAGCAGTGGCCGCGGCGTCAGCGCCGGATTCGCGGCCTCCGGCCTCTCGGCGCCCGGTTCCCTACTGCAGCCAACGTGAGCTTTCTGTTGAGCTGCTCGCTCAGGTACCACACTCCAGCCCCCGAGACGCCCCGCCTTTCTTGTTAACCGGCAGGGCTCGCAGCCAATGGAGAGGTTGGCCTAGACTTCTATTTGAATAGTCCCTCCCCCTTCTTTCACTCTCCCTCCACCGAGGGGCGTTGCCTGTGCTGCCTGTAGGTTTCTTGTACCGGAGGCACCAGAGGGACCGCGAGTTCCCAAAGGCAGAGAGATGAAGACTAAAATGACTTCTCACTTGTGTTATCTGAACACCACCTCAACAACCTTTTTCTTTTGCAATCACTTACAAGGCCTAAGTTGTTACTTTAACAAAACGGCAGAAAAAGCCTTTTAGTCAATTTTGCGTGAATCAGTTGAGGAAGAACTGAAAAGAAGATATTTTGTGACTCCTTCTTTAGTTTTCCTTATTGATGTAAAATAAGCGTTTAGCGGACAAGTGGATTTCAAAAGCAGACGCTGGAAGTTGGGACACACCCTTTGAGAAGCAGCTCACAAACCCC